CCCCCTGCCAATACAGACTGCGTACGGTCGGTGAGGAAGGAGGAGAACCACCGCATCACGGTGCCCCCCACTCCCAACCCACCCAACCCAATGACTTATGGATTAGATTCATACAACACAACTCAGTCAGTAAAAATATACAATTCATATTTACAGGACCTGTTAAATGTGGTTTTAATCTTGCTTCTTTTTGGTTATTTAATGTATTATATCAGTGGTTCCCAACCTTTTGAGTGCCAGGGACCAGTTCCATGGAGGGCGGTTTTTCCACGGACCAGGGTAGAAAAACTGCCTGGATCCCGCAAATGCGCAGATAGGGCTTTGTTACTTGGGGGTTGGGGAATCTCTGTATTCTATGAATGAAACCACCTCAGTGAAATCCTATGAGAGCTAAGAAAAAGATTAATTCAATAGCCATGTTCAACATGTTGTCTAAACACAGCCACTATTTAAAGCTTGATATCTGTACACCCATTTGATGACAGTTTACAGGATGTGGAGTCAAAGCAAGCAAACAAGCTGACCGAGCTGACTGAGTAATTGAACTAAATACACTTCCATATTATGTTTTCCACTTCCCAAGAACCTGAGAAGTAATTACATGGTCATCTGAAGTTTGAGAATTGAAAGGGGGGGGAGATAAAATTCCTGATACAGGTAGTCCTCCACTTACAATTACATCTGGGACCAGAATTTCCATTGCTAAGCAAGAGGGTTGTTAAGTAAGTCTCATCTGATTTTAAGACCTATTTTTACCATGGTTAGTAAGTGAATCATATGATCATTAAGTGAATTGGACATCCCCCATTGACTTGGCTTGTCAGAAGCCAGCTGGTAGGTTGCAAATGCTGATTGCGTGATTCTGGGACACTGCAACTGTCGTAAATACATGCCAGTTGCTACATGCCTGAATTTTGATCATGTGACCATGGAGAAGCTGTGAGTACCATAAGTGCAAAAACCAGTTGTAAGTCACTTTTTTCAGTGCTGTTGTAACTGTGAATGGTTGCACAATGAATGGTTATAAATAGAGGACTACCTGTAACTGGAAAATACATCAGTCATAAATTCTACATAGCTTTATTGCTGCAAACAGAAATACTGTTTTTTTCCAGCTTGGGTTATGTGATAGTGGGTCTAAAATAAATCAGCTTAGCTGCCAAACAGACAACAATGTAAGAAGTATATTGATTCTGAAGCATGGAAAGAGCCAGTTTTAATAATCCAATTCACTATAACAGTGCAGAAAGTCTATTTGTTATGAGACAGAGATATGTATGCAATCAAAAATGTTTTTGCTTCAGAACTTAAATAAATAAACAAATTATGCCTTAGAAGTTTGGTTGAACTGTTTTAAGTAGGTTGTGATTTGCCTGAACAGAAACTCAGAATATTATGTTTGTTCCAGATTCAGTTGAGAGAAATTATGGAGAGATTTTATAGCGCAAGTTGATCAAATCTATGCTACTGGTTTCCCAGTCCTTCCTGCTGATATTCTAAAATCTATCCTATCCTATCCTATCCTATCCTATCCTATCCTATCCTATCCTATCCTATCCTATCCTATCCTATCACCTTTAATGGCAAAATATAAGGTCCAGGGTATTTGAGGAACAATCTCACCCAGTTCGCACCACTTCGGCAGAACCGGTAGCTAATTTTTTGTTGCCCATGCCCAGAATGGATTTCTGGAAGCGGCATCCACAGAGAGAACCGGTTGTTCACATATTTGTATCCCACCACTGATCTCACCCCAATGGGACTAGTTCGCCCCACTCACTCCAGCGGAAGGGGCCTTCTGCAGACCAAGTCTGCCAAGGAATTCCGGTGGTTGAGGTTACATAGAAGAGCTTTTTCTTCTGTGGCCCCAGCCCTGTGGAACATTCTACCATTGGAGGTGAGAAATGCTTCCATCTTTTGGCCTTCTTTGGCCTGGTTGACTTGGACCTGGTTGACTTGGGCCCCTGAGAGGGGTGCTCACTACTGCAGGTGGTTGATGCCATCCCTCTTCCTGGTACTAGTTTTTTTATATAGTTTTTAAATTTTTAATTGTTATATACTCACTCACTCACTCTCTCTCACACACACACACACTTTATAAGCCACCCAGAGTCATCGGTGAGATGGAGACAAAGACACACACACACAGACACACTTGCTTTAATCTTATGTGCAACTGAGACTTTTCAAAATCCCAACAATTCTATTTCAGCTCATCCCAATGCTTCAGAAAAACAGCCTTTATACTTTCTAGTTCAGTTACTTTCCTTACAACACAGTCCTTGTAAAGCATTTTCTGTAGACACTTCATCTGGGTTTCTTCTCATTTCTTTGTCTCTTCTAAACTCATCACTAGCACTCTCCCAGTTCCTACTCTCACCCAGAACTCTTTAAATGAAATAAAAAAAACCTTACATAAATTCTAGGTAACTGTAAATACCAGTTTGTGGAGCTTCCATGAGAGTGGTGCAATGCTGGTGTGATGTCATTTTGCAAGATTATGCTGAATGTATTATTTGCAATCAGCAAATTATGTTTTAATATTAGGTGATGGCTTTTCTGGCTCCAAGTTGATGAGCTGGAGAAAGTTTAACACAACATAATGTCACTCTGAAGGTCTCTGATTTGTGTCTTTCTGATTACCTACCAGTACTTACAGAGAATGTAAATGTCCTACAACTCAATGAGCATCTGGTCAGGGAAGACCGCAATATACAATTGATCCTTAAATAAGTTATTAGATTACAGGGGAAACAATTTGCATTAATAGTGTTGCAGTAGCAGAGAACTTATAATTAAAATCTTTATTATGCTTTAACTCATTTTAGATTGTTTTATACTTATAAAGGAACAGTTTACAACTATTAACTGGTGAGGGACAGAAAGATGGAATAAAGATGAAATAACATTGCTGCCCAGTCACAGGTTTGAGATGGGCAGCTATACAGATTGAATAAATAAATAAACTGCACATTATATTATGATTTAAGGAGCCATTAGTCTGAAATCGCTCACTGAAGTTTATGAGCAATTTCAGTAGTTTAAAAGGGATTAAGCATTTACTTGAAGTTTACACTGACACTATGCATGGTTTGTGGTATTTGAGCTTACTGGTTCTCTGAATGCTAAATAAGAATTTACTAGATATTTTGTATTGATGACTGCTTGATACTCAAGCGTTAGATGAGACAAATCATAAATGTATTATATAATTCAGTGCTTAATTTATTAATGATTGGTTTGTTCATTTTTTTTAATGTGTGTATTACAGGAAAAAGTAGAATATGCCTTCTTGATTATTTTTACAATTGAAACATTTTTGAAGATTGTAGCATATGGATTATTATTACATCCCAACGCATATGTTAGAAATGGATGGAATTTATTGGATTTTGTAATAGTTATAGTAGGGTAAGTCTAATTTTTAATTTTTCTAAGAAATTAACATCAAAAAATGTTTCTACTTTATGTATATGCTATAACATTCAAACAAAGAATCTGTAATTATCCTTACCTTTAGCTTTATGAGATTGCAGTGTTGTCAAATACTTAATTGCTTTGCAATGATTTCCCAAATAGGAAATCTAATCCTTGAATATATTCCCCTTGCACTTTAAGAGGACTCTACTGAATTTTATATAACAACATCCTTTAGTAAGGTTTATATAAACACATACTTAGAATTGTTCTGTATAATGTTTTTCTTTTACAGAAATAATATCTGCATAGCAAGCCGTATATGTGTATTCTGAGGTGTGAAATGTAGCACAAGACAGATTCCTTCACTCCAAAAAAAAATTACATAATACATGAGAGGAACATAGGGTTCTTATTACACTTTTGCCATGGGAAAAGATGACAAACATAGATTTTATCAGAAAAAAATCAAACTAATTATTAAAACTGCCTCTGAGAATCTACAAGATATAAGGGAAGACTCTGGATAAGTATAATGAGAGTTCTGTTCGGTAGAAATAATTCCAATAACATTGTCTTGGAATACTATATCAGAATAATTAGTAAGGGGTTTTTTGTTTTCAGACTATTAATGCAGATTATTTAAATGATTTGGCAAAAAAGAGGAGATATTAAGAAAGAAATCTCTCACCAATGAATAGTTTGCAAACATTTAAAATATTGTGCCGCATTCAGAGTAATATTGCTTGAATTATTGTTTTGTGTGGAAACTATTCTAAAAGATAAACATCTTTTGAACTGTCCTCCTACAAAATAAATCTATTCCAATGTAATGACTGAACATCATCTCTAGCAGTCTATCCTGGTTATCACAAGAGGTGAGCAATAGTTAAATATAAAATTGTGCATAAAACTGTCTGCAACATGTGGATATGAACACATTTCTGTCTGAATATGAAGAAAAAGATTGGATAGTGGTAGTGATCCTGAGTTCGAATTTGATGTTTTATGTCTGACTCCTAAAAGATACCGGGAACCTCTCCCTGAGGTTCCAATTCAAGAAGCACTTGAATTACTCTGAGCTATTTTTTAAATCGTGAAGCCTGCTCTTCTAATGTTGTAATGGTGATCTTTTAGTTTTTACATAATACACGTGCAGTATGCATAAGTCATTAAAGGTTCTTCCGTATTACACCAAAGTTAAACCTCCTTTATGAAAAAAAACCTTATTATCTTATGTTATAGTAACAACAATATATCATGTTTTATTTCTTGTTCACCAGATTGTTTAGTGTAATTTTGGAACAATTAACCAAAGAAGCAGAAGGGGGTAGCCATTCCGGTGGCAAACCAGGTGGTTTTGATGTAAAAGCTCTAAGGGCCTTTCGTGTCCTGAGACCCCTCCGGCTTGTATCAGGAGTGCCCAGTAAGTCACTGCTTCATTAATTATTTGGGAATTCAAACAAAAACATCCCTAGACTACTTTGATAAGCTTTTCTGCAGGCTGAGTATATCCTCCCCTTCCCCTTTCTCTGTAGAGTACAGTACAGTAAAATGTGATGACATGGTATATTACTTAGACACAGATCAATCTGAGATTTCAAATTGAATAAGGATCTAGTCCACAAAGCAAGCAAAAGAGTAGTAAAATTAGGTAGTATTTTAGGTAGTAAAATAACTGTTATTAATAATAATAATAATAATAATAATAATAATAATAATAATAATAATAATAATAATAATAAAGTTGGAAGGGACCTTGGAGGTCATCTAGTCCAACCCCCTGCTCAGGCAGGAAACCCTATACCATTTCGGACAAATGGCTGTCCAGTCTCTTCTTAAAAACTTCCAGTGTTGGTGCATTCACATGTATTGGTCTGCCCCTAAAAAAGACATTTATTATTACTGCTGCTGTGGTGGTGAATATCTTTCTGCCTGTAGCACTCAAGGCCATCTAAAATAAAATTGAATACTTTGAAATAGAATAAAATCAGCTGGAATATTACAGATTTGGTTGATGGATGGATGGTTTGCCTTGGAAGAATCTAGCAGAACTCACTCCGTGACCTAGTGTCAGAATATTATATAATATATAATATTATAATAACATATAATAACAATAATAATAAAAGTTGGAAGTGACCTTGGAGGTCATGTAGTCCAACCCCCTGCTCAGGCAGGAAACCCTATACCATTTCAGACAAATGACTGTCCAGTCTCTTCTTAAAAACTTCCAGTGTTGGAGCATTTACAGCTTCAGGAGGCAGGTTGTTCCACTGGTTAATTGTTCTAACTGTCAGGAAATTCCTCCTTAGTTCTAGGTTATTTCTCTCTTTGCTTAGTTTTTTCTTTTCTTTTCTTTTCTTTTCTTTTCTTTTCTCTCTCTCTCTGAGAATATTTCAGGTTGAATGAAGCATCTGTTCTTTTAATCTCTTTGCTTTTAATATTTCATCCACACGCAAGGTCATAATGCTATGTTTATCACACTATAATCTGTTGCCATGGAAATTATGGCAATTGATGTGGTTCAGGAAAATCACTTCAATAGAGGATCAAGCAATTGTCAGAGATAGTGCATAAATGGAGAAAAAGCATTTTAGTAAGATGCAAAATTCTCACTGACAGCAGATTGATACCTCTAATTTTGTATGTAGACAAATCTCAGTTCGTATTAGAGGTAGCTATTTTTCTTCCCTTAACAAAATGAGAGCTTGTATTATACTCAAATGCATCTTAAAGTATTGTGTATCTGCATGGTTATTTTATTTTATCTGTGCTGTTTCCCACCCCCAGTACAATCATGCTGACTGCAAGATAGTCAGAAATGTAGCCCAATACTTCTGCAGTGCCCCAGGTTGTAAAGGCTGTGCTAAAAATAGGAGGGGGTGGCGGCAGTTTTAATCCCGATGCCTACTTGTGTTTTTGCAATTGTTCTTTGTAACTACAAAAAATCAAAACAGTATAACCAGTGCTCTTTATCTTACAGGTTTACAAGTTGTCCTGAATTCAATTATAAAAGCCATGGTTCCCTTGCTCCATATTGCCCTTTTGGTATTATTTGTAATTATAATCTATGCTATTATAGGATTGGAACTTTTTATTGGAAAAATGCACAAATCTTGTTATTTTGAAGATTCAGGTGAGTAAAGAAATTGTTACTTTTTAACTGGAATTGAACAATGGCATCATAAACCATTGATTGAAAGCTGTAATAGTTCTCACCAAATAAATACAGGTTACATATTGCTTTTTCTTGAAAAATCAAATTTAATGGGGTCAGAATTATATCCTCTCTGTCTCCCTCTTCATGGGAGACATCTATGGCTTTCTGTATCACTCAGTATGACATTTACAGTAAAAATTATCAGTTCAAGTTTTCTATATCAGAACAGAAGTGTGAGAAAATGTTAAAACCATTGGTAACTGGTAACTGGTTTTCAGATCTGCTGCCAGCAAGGGTACAGTAAATACTGCATACAACTGATGCTGAGTCCTACTGCCTAAAAATAAAAATTAGTACTAGATGATTAATAATAATGGGAAGGATTTCCCATTAGTATAACCTGAAAAAGGATTTCTCTCGGAGGCTGATTCTGTATCTTTAGGTTTTCAAAAAGAATATAACTGCTTAAAATTCATTCTTCTGACAATTTCACAAAGAAATGGTACCAAGTTCAAAATAGAAATCTGCTGACTGAAATTTAGGTATTATTAATATATAGCAATGTAGTATTAAATAAGAAAATGCCATATAGGAAACATGATTCTGGGATCAGGCACAGTTTTACTATTCT